AAGTTAACTATTACAGAATGGGTAAGAGATTACTGTACAGGGACATGAACTTCTCGTTTATGAGAGAGGCCAAGAACTAAAAGGAATTACATAGGCTAGTACAAAGACGTAAACCTAGTAATAAAGGATGAAATTAAGAATAGGAAAACTTCAGTTGAAGTTGAGGGAAAACATGCAGACAGTGATATATATGCAATTAAAATATAGTTTTTACCTGTATTATATGTAATGTTTCTTCTTGGAATATCAATAGTCCAGGTTGACTGATTCTTTCCCTTTTATTTAAAAATACCAATGGAATATTTTATTTGTCTGATTCTAAATCATATATTTTATTTTTCTCCCCCGCCCCCAATATTTTCAAAGAGCACAAAAACATTGGGTTAAATCCATCTATGATGAAACAGAAGCAATGCAATCACACAAGCTACTGTCAGAGTCTCTCTTTCATGGTATTTGTTCATTACAATGCACACTTTATATCTGGATGTGGATGCTGCATAAAAGTAATTGAAAAAAATAAACAAGATTCCATTCCTTATAGTGAAACCATGGCAGAGCAAGCCTGGGTTCCAGATGCTGAAGCATACATTGCTATGGCTTTACTGCTCCAGTATCCAAGTTAGCAAAAATAAAACTAGGAAGACCAGATAGCAAATGTGAAAAATTGGGATGAGAGACTAGATAGCAAATGTAAAAAAATTGGGATGAGACTGGGGGGAGGGCGGAGGGGAATAATGCACAACTATATATGAAAAATCCCAGAATATCAGGAGTGTCCCTATAAAATCAGGACATCTGGTCACCCTAATTAAAACTAGCTTGAGTAAATCAGCTAAAGCCACAGTCACATCCTTTGACTGTATGGCAGGCTTACCCTGAGCTTACATCAGGGTGAAGTTAATGGTGATACACCAGAAAATATTTAGCTCATATCTGGGAGCTATTTAACTTTTGCTTCCACCTCATTGAATCTTGGTATCACACTAACCCAGTTCTTTCTGATGAAGAATGTAGGATGCAACAGCTCCCTTAAAGTGCATGCTCTTTATCAGTCAGAGATTGCTCAAAAGTGACAAACTGCCCACTGCTTTTTACAGCTAGTACCTGATGCGGCTGCCTCTGAAGCACCCTCACCCCCGGAACTCAAAATAAAAATTATAGTCTCATGTAAAATTCAAAGATTCTTCCAGTGTGATCATTTAGGTGGTGTGATTTTTTAAAATAATATAATTGTATCAACCCCTACTATGATACAGTTATATAGACAAAGGTAATTTATAGGAGTATAAATAATTTTATTTCCTGTACAGAAATAAAATTATTCCCAGATAAAACACTTTCATACTGGTATAACAGCATCTAACAGTGGGGGGAATTATACCACTTTAACTCGGGGCGAGCTAAATCTGGCCCACCAGACATTTCAATTTGGTCCGCTATAACCCTCCAGTTTGCTAATGGCTCGGTGGGGAGATCAGGCAAGCTGCCTGCCTGCCATGGTCCAACATGTCACTCACAGCAGTTGGCTGCAAAACAAGTGTGTCTTTGCATTCGTGACCCTTGGCAGGAGGAGGGCAGTGGGTCTCCATGCGCTGTCCCTGCCCTCAGCACTATCCTCACAAACTTCTGTTGGCTGGAAACTGGCCAATGGGAGCTGCAGAGACAGTGCTTGTGAGTGCAAAAGCCAGAGCCTTCACCTACTACCCCCTCCCAGACAAAGCCTGCACCTAATATCCCCTCCTGCACCCAACCCCCTTCCCCAGGTCACCACCATCCCCTTCCTGCATCCAAACCCCATCTCAGACCCTAGACCCCCTCCTGAACTTCTGCACCAGATTAGAACCCCTCCTGCACCCATAATCTCCTTCCAGACCTTTCACCCCAGTTCTCTGCACAGAGCTCCTTTGTGTACCCAAACTCCATCCAAGAACTTGTATTAATATAGCAGAAAAGTATGGCCTGTGACCACTTACCAATTCTTGGAGTGGCCCCTTTGCAAAAATTATTGCCCACCCCTGCTTTAACTATAATGCGATAAGAGAGACACTCCTTTCCTGAGAGAGTCCTGGTGGCTGGGCATGGTATTATAACCTTTTCCTGATCTTGGCACCCCATGTAGTTTGCCGACCTTGTTGGGCCAAAGTCCCACATTCAAAAGCCCCAACTTTTGCGGCAGCAAAGAATTCATTAAACTGCCTGCCTTCACAGGGGTCTTTAGCCTCATCTCAGGACCCTTTAAATCCAGCCCCCTTCTTGGGCTTCTAAAGGAGCCTAGTTCCCTTAGGCCTTAGGATACTTTGCCAGCTGGGGAACCCAGGCACAATCACCGCTCCAGGTTCCCTCCCAGGGAAACTATCCATAGTAGCCCCACATGGCCTCCTTTACTTAGCTGCAGCTATTTTCCTTTGACCTCTTCTTACTTGGTCTTTTTGTCTTCATCTGTTTCTACAAGGTTAAAGTTCTCAAGTTCTTTCTCTCCATCACTTTTAGTAGATGCATCCAGTCAAGTTTCATTGGCCAAAAAGGAGCATCTTTTCCCAACCCTCTGTTCCCAGCCAGAAACTGGCCTGTTAAGTCCTGCAGCTCCTTTTATTTGAGCATGCTGGATTCTGACTGGATTCTTCCCTGCAGCTTTAGTAAGCAGGCCTGGAGAATTCCCTTTTGCCTTACTGGGACAGGTTATAGTATGACAACAGGCCCTCCTTCAGGAGGTCACAAAGACCTTTGCATATACCAGTACAGTTACCGTGCAGCAGTACAACTTGTGTGAGTGGATAAGGCCTCAGTTAAAACTCTAGGGATGGCTCGAATAGGCAGCCAGAGCAGGACTAGCACGATTCAGACTCCATCATCAACTCAGGTCTCAAAATGGAAGACATAAGATTATGTCATACTTATTCTGGCTTGTAACCCACTGTTCTGATATGCCGGCACAGCCTGAACAAAGTGTGGGAATAAGGGTGGCATCATAGAATCATAGCAGACCAATCCCAACTAAATCAACCCAGCCAGGGCTTTGTCAAGACGAGACTTAAAACCCTCTAGGGATGGAGATTCCACCACCTCCCTAGGTAGCCCATTTCAGTACTTCACCACCCTTATAGTGAAATCGTTTTTCCTAATATCCAACCTAGACCTCCCCCACTGTAACTTGAGACCATTGCTCCTTGTTCTGTCATCTGTCACTACTGAGAACAGCCTCTCCCCATCCTCTCTGGACCCTCCCTTCAGCAAGTCGAAGGCTGCTATCAAATCCCCCCCTCACTCTTCTCTTCTGAAGACTAAACAAACCCAAATCCCTCAGTCTCTCCTCATAGGTCATGTGCTCCAGTCCCCTAATCATTTTGGTCACCCTCCGCTGGACTCTCTCCAACGTGTCCACATCTTTTCTATGGTGCAGGGCCCAGAACTGGACACAATACTCCAGATGTGGCCTCACAAGAGCCGAATAAAGGGGAATAATCACTTCTCTAGATCTGCTGGTAACGCTCCTCTTAATGCAACCTAATATGCCATTCTCCTTCTTGGCTACAAGGGCACATTGTTGACTCATATCCAGCTTCTCATCCACTGTAAGCCCCAGGTCCTTTTCTGCAGAACTGCTACTCAGCCATTCAGTCCTCAGCCTGTAACAATGTTTGGGATTCTTCCTTCTCAAGTGCAGGACTCTGCACTTGTCCTTGTTGAACCTCATCAGATTTCTTTTGGCCCAATCCTCTAATCTGTCAAGGTCACTCTGGACCCTATCCCTGCCGTCCAGTGTATCTATCTCTCCCTCTAGCTTAGTGTCATCTGCATACTTGCTGAGGGTGCAATCCATCCCCTCATCCAGGTCATTAATAAAGATGTTGAACAAAACCGGTCCAAGAACAGATCCTTGGTGCATTTTGCTAGAAACAGACCACCAACCTGACATCGAGCCATTAATCACTACCCATTGGGCCTGAAAGTCTAGCCAGCTTTCTATCCAACTTACAGTCCATTTATTCAATCCATACTTCCTTAACTTGCTGGCAAGAATATTGTGGGTGACTGTATCAAAAGCTTTGCTAAATTCATCAGGAATATGAATTTCTCTTTGTCCTGGGCTTAACTCTTTAATTCCTGCTCACCATTAAAATAGTACATTCAGACCAGCTTGAAACTTTGAAAGGTTGCAGCACTTCCTTTCTCTGTGCAGATAAGGCTCCATCGCACCATCCAGATCCCAAGACAGTGCATTTCCTTCTGAACTGGTTTTTAGCTCGCTAGTGTTCTGACCTGCTGGCCTGTAGCTTTTCTAGTTTCTCCTAGGGATGCAAGTGACTAGTCGACTATCTGATAAGCAAACGTTTATCAGATAGTCGAGTAGCCACTCGACTAGTTGCTCCTCCCCCCCTTGCTGCTCCCTCGAGCCAGTGCTGGGAGGAACCGGCTTTAAGCAGGTTTCCCCCCAACACCGTCTCCAAAGGGGCTAGGGGAAGCAGAGGCACAGTGAGGAAACTCATGCCGGTTCCCACTGCGGGTGCTTCTGCTTTTGAAATGGACAAGAACGCTGTAGAAACCAGTGCTGAGGGGAGCCAGCTTAAAAGTCTCTAGGGTGCCACCTGCCATCCCTGCTGCCTCTTGGGGGAGGGATAGGGGATGCTGCTGTGCAGCAGTCCCTGTCTGCAGGGGTCCCACACCAGCGCCTGTTCATGGCAAACACTCCTGAGCAGTCCGAGCTCATGCTGATTTCTGCGCCTCTGCATTTTAAATATAGTTAGAGTGGCTGGGTTGTTACTACATTTAAAATGCAGAGCTGCAGCATGGGTGGCTCCAGAGCTGGCATGAGCCAGGACTGCTCAGTCCCAGCTCGAGTAGTCTCCTGGAGCTACCCCTGCTATGGTTCTGTAGAGCAGTACTTACTGATGAATCAATTAGGCAGATAATCACATTTTAACATCCTTAGTTGTTCCTGAATGTTGCTTCTTTGTCTGCCATTCCTCTGCTCAGGCTCACTGATGGCAAGGGAGGAAGGGGCAGATTCCCTGGGACCCAGTGATTTACAAGAGTCTGGGTCTCCTGGCCCCTACCACCACCACTACTGCAGCAGTGGTGGCATCTGGAGATCCTCTAGGTGCTTTAAATTGCCACTGACAGCCCGGTCGAAGCACTTCAGGCAGCACTGAAGGACTGGTTAGGGGAAGCTAGCCCCAGCCCTGTCCCTTTGCCAAAGGCCCAGCTCTTTCCAGGTGCATGGAGCTGACCCCCCATCTTGCCCAGAAACCTGGAAAAGTCTGTCAGCTGCTCTGCCTCTGTGCATGCCTCCCTATTTGGTGTCCTCTCTCTCTACCTAACTCTGATAGTCCAGTCCTTACTTCTCCAAATCCTATATCTGATACATCAGAAATAGCTGCTGCCACCACTTCTCCCTGCTTCATTTGTGAACTATAAAAAAATAGGCACGAAGGGATTAAATTGGACAAAACCTTATTTAAATGCAATTCTTTTGCATTGATCTCTAATTCTGACAGAAATCCAAAGGTAATCTAACTGCCTGGTAGGAAGGGATAAAGGTTAAGTAAGAGGAGCGGGCTAAAATTGCTTTCATATACTGTCCAATGCTTACCAAATTACTGTTTATCAAACATGCACTGAAAAAGAACAAAATGTTACCAGTTTCATTCTGAAGTAGAAGATCCCAGAATAGGTACTGTTGAAGATCTGAATGCTGGGAGCAAGCCCTAATGAGGTATATAACAGTAGAAGCTTTTTTCTGTTCTCCAAAGTATCCTCCTGGTTTACATTATATAGATGACAGCTGATTTTCTTTGAGGAAGAAAAAATCCACAGACTTTTAGCACAGAAACACTTGTCTTTCTCCAACTTGCTGCAATTACCAAAAATAATCAAACACCCCACAGGCTTAATCAAACACCCCACAAGTTAGATGGTGGCTTAATTAATTGAAATTGATTGTGCATATCAAACTTTGGCTAAGTAGCTTTTGCAGCTGCAAAAGTAGAAAATGCATATTATGATATAAAAGTGCATCAGACCAAATATACGTTATGTTCAATATACCAATGAACCATTTTTAGTATCATGTTTGTGACTAAAATTTGCTTCTACATCTATCTAGTATGTATAGCCGTAGAAAGGGGATAGCTACCTGGGGCAATTCCTGTCTATTGTTAAATATATCTATTAATAAAAGTATTTGAATGACATATGGGCACATGAACAATTTCCAAATTGTTTGGTCATAGAGATGTTAGGTTAAAGTAGTAATTCAAAGCAAATGTAGAGAAAATTATCGTTTTGAATTATGTCAAATCACCATACTCTCCAATGCCATAGGTCAACTCTCAAATCTAATTTGTTACCTTGAGGTCATTGTTCAAGCTAATGAAAATTACTTCATCTGAAAAACTCCTGTTATCTGAAAAAGTGGGTTGTGCCCACAAAAGCTCATGATACCATCTACATGCTTTGTTAGTCTTTAAGGTGCTACTAGACTATTTGTTGTTTAAGTTTTTCCTGTTACAGGCTAACTTGGCTACCCCTCTGAAGCTTCATTTTTAATTAAAGTCTTTATTATACATGACAAATTTACACATAGGTAACACTTTCAACTATGAAGAGGAATTAATTCACGATCCTGAATTAAAATAGTAAACCACAGTGATGTAGTTTTATCTATACACAGTGAACAATCACAAATATAAAGCTTAATTGGGAACTTACCAAATTTTGTGAACCAAGGTACAATTTAATGACTTTGGGCTTTGTGCCTGTATCATCTAATGGTTCAGTATAGCAAGAGAAACTTGAATTCTCCTTCACTGAAAGAGACAAAAAAATATAGTCTAATGTTTGAAATATCCTTTGCAGAAATGTCTGCTAAAACTAAATATTAATTTTGGAAAGGAAAAGGATAATGTATTAATTTGTACTAAAGAATAAGGAAAATTAGCAAGCACGTTATTAAAAAAATAAGTACACTCATCTATCAGGGACCTGACCACAGAGTTATAGAGATGTAGAGCTGGAAAGTACCTCAATAGGTGATTTAGTCCATAAGTGTTTGCCCATCCTGTGTTTAAAAACAGAATTGGACACAATACTCCAGTTGAGGCCTTATCAGTGCTGAATAGAGTAGAAGAATTATTACTTTCATCTGCATACAAGAGAGTCCTGCTAGTAGTACAGTATTACATTGTTGACTCACAGGGTACATCTACACAGTAACATTATTTCAAGGAGTAATGGAAGTCGGATGAAGAATGCTCTGTTTCAAAATAAGTGCTGTGTAGATGCTCCCAATTCAAAAATAAGCTACACAATTGATATAGCTCAATTTGAGTAGCTTATTTTGAGTTAAGCACCCACCTAGGGTCATTTAGATTGTGGTCCATCATAACACTGTAACCCCATTAACCCTGATAATTAAAAGTAGAGTGACCAGAAGCTCCATTTTAAAGCTACAGCCCCATATGAAAGACTTCATGCCCTTTTAAAAGAAGAGGGCAAATTGTTCCATATTTTCGGTCTCTCCCCTTCCATCAGTATTGGTGGGTCCTACTGCTGGCCAGATCCATGCTTACCATTCACCCATCCACCAGTGGTGGTGCTATGGGGAGGGTTGTCCAGCGGCTGATGGTGAGGATGCGTGTGTAAGGCTAGTGATCAGGCAAAGCAGCATGATCCCCCACATGTTGCCTTGAGAAGATGCAGTACCAGGTACCAGAAGAGGTGGGTCCATCCTGGGGCCCTAGCCAGGCATGGAGGATGGAGAGCACTGGACAGAGAGGGTTGGGTCAGGTCAGTCACCCCCAACCCTATGAGGGTGCACAGGAGTATGTGTGCCACCATTCCCTTGGCAAACATTAAAGGTAAGAAGACTCCAACTACAAACAAAGACTCCAACTACATACTTCTGATTGACAGCCTTTGAACTCATTTGAGTAAGTGATCAATTTTATCAGGTGTCACGTATTCCGCATAGAGAAACATGGTAACCCCAATTAAAAGCAATTTAAGGCTCTAGTTTCTGACAAATTCCAGAGTGTCTTCTGATTTTCTGGTATGAATTAGAAAAAAATCTACAGCATTCGACTTTTACACATCTCCATCTTGATGAACATGGTAAATTAAAGCTTCATATTTTTGCCCATAACAGACCTTCATATTGTGTCTATTCTGTCACTCTGGGAACTCTGCTTGGTTTGGCTGTATGTGAAAGAGTGCAAGAGCACTGCTTTCGAATGAAATACCAGAAGTAACTGAACTGAACCAAAGTCTTAATGCTTTGAAAGGACTTTGGCAGATGCATCTTTCTGCAAAAACTTTTCTGTTATAATGAGCAAACAGGAAATAGTCTCAGAACCCAACCAACCACTATTTGGAATCTCTTATTAGCCAGTCTTGTGGGCATTGTCTGTCTTCTTCCTGCAGAATATAATTGTCTCAGGCTATTGTGGATCATTGGATATTTCATAACAATATTGGGTTGTGATCCATTGATGACTTTGTAACACAATGCCAAAGCCTAGAAATTGGCATTGAAAACAAATTGGGAGGGAGAAGGGAATGATGAAATCTGCCCTGTGATCTCAATGGTTTGTTTGACTGACAAAGACAGGCTACTTCATTCTGCAGAAGTGGGAGTGTCTGTATTACTTCTACCTTGAGCTCTGGGTGCACTGTTACAGTAATTAGACTGGCCATGGCAAATGTATGGATTTCTGTTGCCAAGTCTTCATTTTCAAGGAATGGACTTCTAGCAAGTTGAAAGTAGAAGAAAGCATCTCCCCTGTGTCAGTGTCTGGGCATTCAGTGTTAGTTACGAGTTCTGGTATTATAGAATTTTTATAAGGTGCTCAAATGCTGTAGTGGGGACCATGGGAAAGAGATCAAAAGGACAGAGCAAAGGAATGGTTTTGCCCAATATGTATAAAAATGTAACTCTACCTCACTGCATGATGCAATGTAGTGCTTTGTATGTCATCATGGGAACATGAGTCTCAAAAAAAAAAAAAAAAATTAAGAGTAGCATGCTACTAGTTTCAATATGATCATTTTGAATTTCTGAATGTGAGTCCATAACTACACACCATGTAAACCAGAACTACTTAACTTTGGAAGCTCCAGGGGCCACAGTGATACTATGAGTCCATAACTACACACTATGTAAACCAGAACTACTTAACTTTGGAAGCTCCAGGGGCCACAGTGATACTCAGTGCATGCCATGGGCCGCAACTTAAGTGTGGTTGCAAATGGACTTCTTTCATACTGACAGGCAAGAATACAAAGATTAAGGCAAGACTACAAAACACACAGGCCCAATTTAAGTCAGTTCTGCTGATATTAATAAAATGCAATATTTAATCAATTTCCATCCATATGACAGTACTTTTAGGGTGTATCTACATTGCACTGTTATTCCGGAATAATGGCCGTTATTCCAGAAAAACAATACTAGTGTCCACACATCAACTGTGCTATTTCGAAAGAAAATCAAAATAAAAGAGGGCTTTTTCCAGCATTGGTAAGCCTCGTTCCACAAGGAATAATGCCTCTTCTGAAAAAGCTCTTTTGGAAGAGAGTGTGTGTGGATGCTCCACTGCTGCTATGTTGAAATAGCTCCCCACAAGAGCCATTCTTAGTTATTCCTCCCCAGTGCCTCCTGGGGCTCTAAACTGAGATAGAACATCCACATTAAGGGAGCGTGCCTTGGCCTAATTTGGAGGCTTCCCTGGAATGTGGATGCTTTATTTTGAAATAAGCTGTTCTGGAAGATATTTTCCGAATGGCTTTTTCTGAAATAAGCTTGCACTGTAGACATACCCTTAATGAGCAATGACAGTCCAGGAATTTAACTACTAAAATGCATATCAACAGAAGACCATTATATTGACTCGCCATTGTGGAGCATGTTCCCAGTGGATGCCATGTTCAAAGGATCCCACCGGTGGGCTGTGTGTTGAGCCCCGCATAAACCCATACCCCAGCACAGGCCACAAACAAACAGGCTGCAAGCAGCCCATGGGCCGCGTGTTGAGTAGCCCTGAGGTAAATTGACTACGAGCAAGTTAACATCTTTGAAAGTACTCTGATAGAACTAAATTACAACTTGCCTTGCACATTATAAGTGATTCCTGAAGACAGATTAGGCATCTTTAAAATGGCTCCAAATGCAATATATAAAACAAGTGAGTCCATCTGTTTAAAGAAAACAAAAAACATTTTATAATCTAGCAATGTATTATGAAAAGCGAAGTTACTCACCTCCGGTGCAGTAACTGTTGTTCTTCGAGGTGGTGTCCCCGCGGGTGCTCCACTATGGGGGGTGCTGGGCTTTCCGGGTCAAACCCAGCACCCCATAGTGGAGCACCCACAGGGACATCCCCGAATAAGAACAATAATTCTACTAGTTCTATATAAATAGGCCATTTTACAAAAAAATTCATGCTGAAGACTTGTAGGACTTTTGGCTTTTACTCCCTGATCCACCACTGGTTTCTTGACAAATCGCTTAGCTTCTGTAAGTTATACTTTTCCTTATAATGTGGATTATGCTGCCCATCCTGTAATGTTTCACAATGCAGTTCTTTCTTGTAGAGATATTGCTGTAGAACAGGCAGTGGTAATTGGTAGTTAGATTCTATGTTTAACTTTTGCCACTGACTAGGTTAGGTCCCTCAATGGCTAATAGCCAGGATGGGTAGGAATAGTGTCCCTAGCCTCTTTCTCTGGAGGTGGGTGACAAAGGAAGGATCACATGAGGATTACCTGTTGTGTTCCCTCCCTCTAGGACATGGTATTGGCTACTGTCAGCAAGACAGGATACTGGGCTGGATGGACCATTGGTCTGACCTAGTATGGCCGTTCTTATGACTAGCTTTGTGATCACTACATCTCTCTGTGCCTCAGTTTTCCTCACTGTAGAATGGGAAATCACGCGGGCATTGTGATAACTAATATTTATAACCACTTTGAGCCCCTGGAGTAGAAGATGTTCTCTAAATACAAAGCACTGAATGATCATGATTTCTTAACTCTTGATAGTTCCCTTTTTTGTCTTGATTTTTTTTTCTCTTTATACTGTCACCAATTGGCTCACTTTATTGTTGGTTGTTGTGTTTTCTAGACACTGTATTTCCTCTGAGGACAGCTCTAACACAGCAAGCAAAACAGACCCCAATACCACGCTGGTCTCTTCACCATTCCTTCCCCATCTGCTTGGCTGTGCTCTTGTGCCTATCTTCCGCAGCAGCCAATCAGCAGATCCTTAACCCGGAACCAGCTTCAGAGTTCTGAAGGATGGCAGTTGGCCTGTCCAACTGTCCTTTCAGACTTCTGAGTGGCGGCTCAGGTGCTCCAACAAGCAGCAGGCACAGGGCTCAGAAATCCCTGCCAGTGAGAACTGTAATGCAGATCCCCGGGGCCCCTAGATTCACATACTTATCCACAGGGCTGTCTTAATTAATGTCTTTATTACTGAGTCTGAGAGAGTACAGGCTAACCTACATGTAAGGGGTCTGTTGGCCCCTTACTAAAACTCCTAGTTAGCTCCTACTATCAAAATGAAGGTATATGAGAAATCAGGATCCTGAGTGTGTCAGCCCCCAGGAACAATGGGAAGGGACCAGCATGCCACATCAGCCTGATTGCCAGGGCGGGCAGGCCAATGAGGGAGTGAGAGGTCTAGGGGAAGTCCCGTCCTCCGTGCTCCAACGTGAGCTGAGTTTTTGTTTAGGTCAGACTGAGTAGGGCTGAGCTAAGGAGACAACATGTGCCTGAGCTGAGTTGGGGAGGGGAGCTGAGTCCAGAGAGAGCCAAAGACACAGCGCAGAAGCACAGCCATGTTGGGAGCGGGGCTGCAGCCACAGAGCCAGACGGGTCAGAGAAGCAGCCCAGGAACTGGCAGTAGTACAGCAGAGAGTGGGGCTGGGGCTGGAGCATGCTGGAGCTGGGTGCAGTCAGCAGCAGGAGAGATCAGGGGGACCCTGGGTAGAGACCCAGTGCAGGGGGACTCCACCAGCCAAGAGACCTTGCAGGCCAGATTTCAAGAGGGATCTTAACCCCAACTGTAGAAGGCTACTGCTGGGGGAGGGAGAAGGGTCCTGCTACCCAAAGCAAGTGTCTGATCTGCAGCATTTCTGCAGCACAGCCAGGGCCTGAGGAGGAGGCCTGCGACCTACATGGAACAGACTGAGAACTGTCCTTAAATTCCAGAGATACTGTGCATCCAGAGATACTGTGCCATGCAGGAGAGTGGAAGGGAAGCCCTTGAGGTCAGAGAGGTCTCTGAGAAAAGGAAGTGGGAGTGGAGACTCATATCCTTTCACTAGCCCATTTCACCGGGATAGTGTAGGAGCCAGGAAAGTTCTCCACAATAGTGGGACCATTTCCCCTGCTTACATACACATTGGTTCTTATCCTGTTACACACAATGCTCCTGCCCCAGGCCAGTACTTATTTCTTTCCTGTTATAATTAAAACAGACACAGCATGACAGAGACAGCTAAAAACTTGAGACAAAATTCACCACATATATCTCTCTTGACCCTATTCTCTCTGCCCATTCAAAGTCCCTTACTCTGATCCATGAGACTCATGAATTCAAGAAGTAAAATTTCTCACTGGGAAGAAGGGACACCTAGAATTAGTTTGGGACTGGAATCTCTAAAGAATTAAATCAATTTTGAAAAGCATCCCCTCCCCAGTACACAAAAGAAGGAGAGAGAAAGAGTACTAATGACTTTTTAGAAACTTGGTACGAGGTGTTGTATTTCCTGATTTGCTTATGAAAGTTACTGACTTCAGAGTGATTTCTTGTACCTCATGTCAAATGAGAACCTTTAAAAGTGAAATGTAAACACAGTCTCTAACATTTTTCCTCTAAACATGCCACCTTTCTGTAAAGATGCCCACAACATCACTGTGAGAACTCAAATAAATGAATCTGGTGGCTTTTCATCCCACCCTATGCCAGGAAGGCACAAGGAGAGCACAAACAGAAACAAGCTGTGGGTATAAAAAAGTGGCATCACAAAACAACAGTGAAGAACTAAACAGTAAGCAAGGCTATCACCAGCTACATAAATTGGCCAAGATTAGAGAAGTCTCACAAATGATTGCCTGTTACCTGTTGCTTAACAGATTCAGAGGAACTACTAGGAGTAGCTCTCTGGACAGTTACCTAGTAACTGTACGCATCCGCTTCGGGATGGTATTTCAGGTGCGGGATGTCCACCAGTGTCTAATCACCTGGAGATTGTCTATCTCAGAGACAGGTTGCAGTAAATAAAAACTCAACAATAACTAAATTTAGACCACAAGACTATATTTTACATATTAAATTTAACAAACATATACCTCGAATAAAATAGGGGGGCAGTCCCCTTTCTATACTACATGAACATTGGAGGGGCAGTCCCTCCAAGGTTCCTAAACCTACTTACAAAGTCTGGTGGTGCAAGGGCAACGGTGGTGATGCTAGCGACCTTTGGTCCCTTAGGGTCTCAGGCGAGGAACAGCTAGGCGTCCCTCGGCAGATGATCCGGTGCTTGGCGACCTCAAGCCTCTGGCTAATGGAAAGCCTCGGGCGAGGAATAACCAAGATGATCCCATGAAGCACAGGTTGAGTGCGACGGCGGTAGATTCACCTTCTGCGAATTGTCTGGCCTCAACCTCTCTTCTCGCACTTCGGAGCAACAGGATCAGGCGATTGTAGACTCTGTTTCTACCCTAACTACTCTAAATAAAACCTAACCTAAATCGCGACGCACCCGCCGAACAGACTCGAAGACGGCCGAATTACTCGTACCGACGCAGCCTGACGGACAGACACGACGACGATGTCTACCCTATACTAATCCTAATCTAACTAAACTACCCTATGGGGAATATTGGTGAAACTACAGGCCTTCCGCCCAGTTTCATCAGTCTAGAATTAAATTAATACATTCATTCGTCAGTATCTAGGACTAAGACTGAAAGCATATACAAGCATACAAGAACAGACCTATGCTAACCTAGACCCAACGCTAGAAAGACCCGATGCAACAACAACTGCTGCGTGGCAGAGACTTAAATAGCATAGGCTAATGAATATTCATAAGTTCTCAAGGTTTGAACTGATTGGCTCTCCAATGATGCTCTATTTGCATATGTTTAAATTGATTGGCTGATAGATGAGAACACAAATAGCTCACACATATTTATAAATATTCAAATCCTAACAGGTATGCATATTATTATATTAAACTCTAACAGACATACCTGTTGGACGTGACATAACCTGGGTTCTTAATGGGTGCCAAGAGAATTTTACCATTTCAAAATGGAGTCGGAGAAGCCATTTTGAAATAAGACTATATTATACCTATATCATGTGTTTTAATATATATTAACAATGAATTTACACACTAGTCCTTAGATATTCACAAGTCCACTGTACAGGATATTACATTTTCAGACTCTTTGGGTTGGTTACAGTTACATTTAAAGCATGTGGTTGCTACATAACTGTCTGTTACATTTATAACACATGGACATTGATGTTACATAGTAATTCTGCATTACATTTCCCCTCCTTGATGGACAACTGAGGTGGAAACAGAAGATGTTCATCAACTTACATGGCAGAATTAAATGCAAATATTTCATCTCTTATACGCGGACGTGGGCAACACACATAACAAGATAACAGTAATGTAAGCAAGGTTAGGACAGCTATGTAGATATACAACAGGCCCAATGGGTTAGTTAGTACTGATTTTACATTGATGGTTGACAGATCTCCAAAAATGTCACCAAATAATTTGGTCCACCAAGTAGGTGTAACATGAATTCGTTTATCAATGTGGATGATATCGTCAGCTGCATGTTGAACTACTATATGAACCCATTCACTGATGTTTTTAATGCTTTTTATAATGCTTGTCAAATCTGGATGGACCATCATTGCTTTTATGGAGTCAATGTTGGGACCCAATGACACCGGTGTTATAATGTCAATTATGGCATAACGTACGGTAATGTCCTCGTACTCAGCGTTGATTAACTTAACATTTATATCACACCCACGTATCTCAAAAACTTTACAGACACAAGTTAGTAAAATTGGGCATGACTACTGTGTAAAATTTATTCACAGTAAACACAGGACACAAACTCCGTATGCATATGCAATGTTGATCTATTTGGACCACTACAGAATGGTTATTACCCAGAGGTGTCAGGTGCAATTCATAATTGCATTCTCCTTCGGCCTCATTTAGACATAAATGGCCTTGATTCCACAGACTGGTTGTGCACACATATCCTAAATGATTTTGTGCTATGCATGCTTGCATGTTTACTACATCTTCTTGATTTTGATAGGCCCAGGCTCTGTTAGTAATAAGCATCATCACTGAGCCATTAATAAACATGCCTAGTGTAACAATTGGATATACGATGTCTTTTTGTGCACTTAAGACTGTCAGTATTACTATATGCAAAACATTGCGTCTGGGATCATATTCGGAATGCAAAACATTCCACACGTCCTGATTTTCCCTCTCAAAAGGTGTGGATAATTTACTAATTAGGGCCGCTATTTCTATAGGAAGGGTGCCTGCCAGTGCATCGTGGATAATGTCGTGCGATAATTCTAAAAGCATATTTTGCACCTGTACACAGGCTAAGGCCAATGTAGTTTCGTTAACCAAAACCTGCATTCCCTTTAACATCCGGAGATGATCTTCTTCCTGATAATGTGCCCATGTTGGTAATAAATCGGTCAATTTTACTTGGACTTTATCCAAGCCCAATAATGACTCTTCGAGGGGATGGACTAGATCTTCAGTCCCTGAAGTTAATTTTGCTAAATTCTTAGCTAGGCAAGCATTATCGATGACTGATGCAATGCCTAAGCCAGGACTAACTCCACCCAGAACTTTTGCCACTATGTCTCGCCTCTTTCTATTAGGTTGTTTAGAGGGGATGATTGACCATAACCATTTCTCCCAGCCTTGTAATAATGGTTCTATGAAAGGCTCACACTGTTTGTTGATATCAACAGTGGTGGTCACAAGTGGTATGTGCACCCACTTTACTTGATATTTTGGCTCGATCAACACTTGCCGTGCCATATTCGTTTTCACAACATATGGTCCAATCTCAAGTTTCTCAGGTTGTTCGGCTACTAGGATTTTTACCGGAAATTTTGCTCCAAAAACTCCTAGCACTGTCCAGGTACCGGACTCGGTAATATTGTCTACGAACAATCCTGTACATACATAACGAGCTGGTTGCGGTTCTAACTTGCAACTCGGAGAAGCCACAAATGTGCTTACTCTATTCGGATTCTGATTTTCAGTGCAGCTTAAGGGTATAGATTGTATAACCCCTATAGGAGATACAACCTTAACTGGAATAGTCTCCGTAACATGGTGGTCATGATAAAACTTAAATCACCCACATCACTTGTCCTGGTTTTATTATTGGATAGTATAAAACATCCAAATAAACACAGATTGAGCCCGTCCATCGAGGGACTAATAATTGGCAATTGGTCAAACATCGCCTATTATGCTCAACTGATGGAGTATGCGCCATATACTCATTAACACATAGATGGGGATTAACAAATATCCACATGCACTTTTTGGACACGCTGGAATATATTTCCATCTTCAGCCAACCATTTATACTAAGGCCGTTCTTTTTACTATCATCTCTATCTATGACAAAATACAATAGGATGTTTCCCTCCAGCTCATCTCGAATAACGAGATGGCAAAAATTCTGGTGTTGTTTAACTAGAATCGTAATCAGTTGGCTGCGGAAAATAGGTAATTTGATCTCCCAACGTTTGCTAATGGATAATTGAGGCATATAGGTCTTAGAAGAGATCACCTCTTGATTATAAATTGGATCTCGTGACTCAGCCTGTGTCCAAACGAACATACGTGGAACCATCCATTCATAAACCTCTTTGGGCAAGGGTCTTATATCCCACTCATTCAAAGGACGATCGCCCACGCGACAGTGCCATAATTCGTCCTGAATAAAGGTTAGGCCTTTAAAGTATGCCCCGATAGTCGAGCCGTCCTTTTGTTTGAACACATGTCTGCCCAAATCTGCCCATTCTAATCCTGGTCACCCTTGTGAGTCTCAAGTGTCCGTACAGGGACAGGACTAGAAACACTATTCCTTACTCCCACTACAGTAAGTACACATATTATATAAAAGATGATGTTTTTGTTGATCAATCCTAGACAAAGACAAAAATAAGAACAAAGTCATTAATGTTCATTCTTCACCATCTCTTAATTTCCTTCTTTTCCAGATGTTATTATTTCAATGTTCTTCCTACCCCTCCTATCTATCTATTTGTTCTACTAAGTTCTTATTTAGTTTCCTTTCCATTCTTTAAGTTGACTCAAATGGAACCACTTTGCGATCTTTCGGTTCTTTTTAGTTGGTATTTCAATTTGATACACCATCGGGCCATCTTTATTAATAATATAACAAGGCCCCATCCTTCTTGGAGATAAGGGGTGACTCTTCTCATTGAAGTGTCGGTAGAGAACTTTATCACCGACACTCCACTCGTGGAATTTCAGCTCTTCCGCCAATCTCTTATCCATCTCTTGAATATTACTCTTTAAGGTTACAGCCACTGATTGTTGGATTTGACTTAACGTTTCCAATAACTGTTTTAGGTATTCCTAAAACATGACCTATGAAGCCAGGCTTCATGAACTGGGCTTGTTTAGTTTGGAAAAAAGAAGATTAAGGGGGGACATGATAGCGGTTTTCAAATATCTAAAAGGGTGTCACAAGTAGGAAGGAGAAAATTTGTTCCTCTTGGTTTCTGAGGACAGGACAAGGAGTAATGGGCTTAAAGTGCAGCAGGGGAGGTTTAGATTGGACATTAGGAAAAAATTCCTAACTGTCAGGGTGGTCAAATATTGGAATAAATTGCCAAGGGAGGTGGTGGAATCTCCCTCTCTGGAGATATTTAAGAACAGGTTGGATAGACATCTGTCAGGGATGGTGTAGACGGAGCTTGGTCCTGCCTTGAGGGCGGGGGGGCTGGACTCGATGACCTCTTGAGGTCCCTTCCAGTCCTATTATTCTATGATTCTATTCGGAAGCTTTTATCCGAGGTTGGAAGCCATCTGGTGGCACCCATCCTTTGACCCACCAAATCTCCGGTGTTCTCATCGGTCGGCCAAAGAGGACTTTGTAGGGCGTATAACTATGTGCTCCTACAGTCTATCTGATTGCCATTAGGATTAATGGGAGATGTACATCCCACTGCTTGCCTGAAGTTTCTACAACTTTTCTCAAAGCAGTTTTTAGGACACGATTGGAACGCTCCACCAGTCCCGACAACTGTGGATGTCCTCCAATGTGGAAATGTTGTCAAACACCAAGTGCTATGCAGAGCTGTTTTATAATCTCAGCAGTGAAGTGTGACCCTTGGTCGCTATTCCTTTTCACAGCAGCCACTATATAGCAGTAGAGTACAACTTTTCCTCTTCCTCCCTAGAAGTCAAACGTTTCAA